GGGAGTCGAACCCGGATCTCTTGCATTCCGTGCGAGCGTCCTAAGCCTTTAGACTACCGAGACTAAAATAATTTAATATTATATATATGTATTTACAATACTTACAGATGACATTTTCCATCTTTTCAATGCTCCTTTTAGTTGAATTTTTTCAATATTATTCTTAATCGTTAGTGATCACTGGTGATTGACGGTACGAAAAATTTCCGAAAAATATACCCCACGGGAAGCCAGGCTACTTAAAATCAGAACGGAACGATGCTGATTGGTTGCCCCTACTACACTTCACCTTTCTTGTCCTAAGCCTTTAGACTACCGAGACTAAAATAATTTAATATTATATATATGTATTTACAATACTTACAGATGACATTTTCCATCTTTTCAATGCTCCTTTTAGTTGAATTTTTTCAATATTATTCTTAATCGTTAGTGATCACTGGTGATTGACGGTACGAAAAATTTCCGAAAAATATACCCCACGGGAAGCCAGGCTACTTAAAATCAGAACGGAACGATGCTGATTGGTTGCCCCTACTACACTTCACCTTTCTGATTCCGTTTTCCGTGCCCATGGGACAGCACTCTAAAGGCCATTCTACATCGGTCGTATCGTAGCGTCGGAAGCGTCATAAGCATCATACGACTTTGAAATTGAAGCATCGGATTGGCTCAAGCAACAAACTTGTGACTTGCGACGTCTACGATACGACCAATGTAGAATGGCCTTAAGGCTGCGGTCCACTTGATGCTACAGTTCGATCAATTAATGCCTTCCACCCCTGTTTTGACATTGCGCGTTACCTTCTCGGTTATTTTCACGTCTATGGTCGTAGCTAAACGGATTTATCGACAATACGCGAGTCTCTCCAATCTCTATTGGCTAGTCTGGTTTGTCCAATTTCGGCCATGTGAAAACAACCGAGAAGTAAACGCGATGTCTCACCAATGGACGTGATATCATAAGCCGGAATCCATAGTCCGGTCTTAGGGTGAAATCACACTTTTTTCCGAATAGCGCTAAATAGCGTTGATTGGTTGCTTCAATGACGCATTCTCTATTACGCAGTCTTTTTCCGCACCGTGTGATTTCACCCTTAATCTCAGGCAGTGTCTTAAGATGCTAATACGACTTTCTGATTGGTTCATGCACTAGCTTAAGTCCGGATCTACAATAAGTATTTAACCCCGGATCTACAATAGGTGTTTTAAGCCTTAAGCCGTAAGAAATTAACCAATTACAGTCGAATCCGAGGGAAATAATCGACTATGATTCGCCCATTTCTTATGGCTTAAGGCTTAAGGGCTGCCGCAAACAAAATTCCGTAACTGTATGCGTAAGGTGTAAACTTAAGCCGATGAGCCAATCAGGATATTGCTTTAGGTCTACATAATCTAACGGAAATGGAAATAACAGTAAACTTATCCATAATCTCACAATAAAGCGAATTTCAACCGGTTGAAACTCGCCTTATGGATAAGTTTATTGCTATTTTTATTTCCGTTAGATTACGTAGATCTAAAGCAGTATCCTGATTGGCTCATCGGCTTAAGTCCATGTCTTAAGGTTACTATTATCCCGAACCTACAATAGGATTTTAAGCCTTAAGCCATAAGAAATAGACGAATCACAGTCGATTATTCCCCTCGGATTCGACTGTAATTGGTCAATTTCTTACGGCTTAAGTCTTAAAACACCTATTGTAGATACGGACTTAATCAGAGACTGACCATAAGGATTTCGTCAAATTTCTCCAAGAGAGAAATTCTATCTCACTTTTCCATCAATAGCGGTGTGTATACATCATGCATAGTCTATATATTTTTAATTCTAACTGAATATGCCAATCAGATGCAAGCGCTCACTGAGCGCTCACTGAGCGGTTGTAGTACTGAATGCACCCAATGGTCGCGTTCAGCAAACTCAACTGTTGCGGAGCGGATCAGTGAGCTCTCGCTGCTATTGGATAATCTAAAAGAATACACCAATAGCAGCGAGCGCTCACGGATCCGCTCCACAACAGTTGAGTCTGCTGAACGCGACCATTGTATACCCATTGAGTGCTCAGTGAACGGTTGTCATTCTAAAGGCTATCACACGTAAAAAAGTTTTAGTGGGAATCGTAAGGTCGCAAACAAATCGACCAATCACAATCAAAATTACGATCTCGCGTTGTAAAACGCTCGACTGATTGGCCGATTTGCTTACGGCCTTACAATTGCGACGAAAATTTTTGTATGCGTGTGATGGCCTTGAATGCACCAAATGCACCCATTTTGATTGGCTATAACCAATCGGCTACTGCGCATCCTTCAAGTTATTTCATCTATCTTTTTCCACCATGCTACCTGCTGTTAGCGGACGACACGTCAATAACCATTTTCAGATGTCTTTGTTTTTGTATTAAAGTTTAGTATTTTTGTGATAAGTGATAAGTCAGAAAGAGAGAAAATCGGGAATATCGAGAGAAAATCGTGTCTGACAGTGATGTATAATGCAATGTTAAACTATATTTAAAACTAATCGATTCGAGGGATGTGGGTGCATTCATTCCGTCTGCCGTTTGAAAAGATTGCATTACACAAAGTGAGGTTAGTGAAATTTCGTTTTACTCGCATTAAATTTTATCGATATTTAATCGCGTATCCAGGATCACAGGCATTTTATTGGAATTTCGTATAAAATCTTTCTAAATACTTTCTGACAATTGTATCGGACAATAATTACGCCAATATTTTTTAACGCGATAATTTTAACTAGGTTAGGTTAATTGAATCATCGTTCGAGGAATAGCGTCTAATGAACGTCTAATAGTAACCAAAATTATTATGCAGAAAATTGGACATTGGTAAACATTTTGATTTATTCATCAAATTATACATATCTCCAGTTTTCGCTCGTTAGGTATTTTGTAGAAATTTCGCGCGAGCGCGAATGTGCGCGTGCTCGCATTGTTTCGTCGCATGCGTGCGCGAGTTCTCAAATGTTCTCAAAACAAAGTACCGGTTTCCGCGGCAACCGCGATTTATCGATTCGCCTAGGCGCCTAGGCCCCTAGGCGTCGCCGGCAAGGGCGGCAAGTAGCCACCACTCGTCGCACCAGTGTCACCAATAGCCACTGCAGCTGTAGCTTGTTGTGCTCCAAGTTCCGCTTGTGGCCAGTTAAGAGTAGTTGTCCCGAGTCCCAAATAGTTTCACGGACGGCAAGTTCCTCGAGGCGATTAATAAAATGACGAGGATCCGTTCAAGATCGTCTACGAGGGTGTCACGCAGTGGAACGACGAAGAAAACGCGAGAAGAGAAAAAACCTCGTCGAGGTCACGTCGTTAGAGGAAGAATAACGTCGTGTCGCGCGGAAACCTAATGGCATATCGTTTATCGTGCTTTTCTAAATTGCGAAGACAGTCATTTATATATTCGAACTATATAGAGCGAACGCGGATGTAAACTGAAAATTGTAGGTACAAAAGAAGGAATTGACATGCCATTTCAGAGAATCGGTAGTGATAAAAGACTATCATGTTTATAAGATGATCATAAAAGTAAAGAAATGAAGCAAACGACAAGAAGAAAAAAAGAGAGAGAAAGCGAAACAAGAATCGACGTACTGAAAGAGTCAAGTTCAAATTACCGTTTATAACAAAAACACGATGTGAAAGTGGATACAATTTAAAGAATATATAACTTGGCATATGTGCATACGTATGTATATATAAAATCAAAGTCTTGACATATATTAAGCTTAATATCGTAAATATAACGTAAACGAGTTTGTTTTGAAATCTTTCTTTAAATTATGCATATATATTGGCTATTAATTAAATAATATTTAATAGGAAAAATTGAATAGCAGACATCGAAGAGATGTATAATACAGCGATAAGATAGGAGAAGAAGAGAACGCGTACGGTGAAAAGAAAGAGAGAAAATTGAAAAGAAACAAGGACAAGGGCAGTGACGCATTAAACATTGATCGAAAGCGCACTGGAAACGTAAACGAAATAAATGATAGTGAAGAAAGAGCGATACCGGGAATGCTAAACGAGAGCTGTGCAAATAATGCGATTGCCCGGTGCTGTTCCTCGCGGGACACGCAGCACGTGCCACCGGAGCACAGAAAATTCCGGCGCGTTCACGGGCTGCAGCTGCCACTGCATCCTCAGCAGATTGTCGGTTGGGTGCTGCTGGTTGTCGTGTTCGTCGGTACTTTCACCGTGTTGCTGACGACGCCGCCGCTATTGCCCAATCTGCGCTTCATCCTCTCGTTATTGTTTGTCGCGTTGTTTCTGCTCCATGTGTTGACTCATTTGACAGTGTTGCTGCTCGACCCGGCCGATCCCGAGGTCCGGGCTCGACCAGCCCGCGTGATTGTACCGGAGTTTGACCGAGCGAAGCACCGACATGTTATCGAGAACGGCCGATGCCATCTTTGCAACATAACGACGCGTGGTCGACGGACCAAACACTGCTCCATCTGCAACAAGTGCGTGCCGCGTTTCGACCATCTGGTGTGCCTGACGTCGACTCTCGTCGCCGCGCTCGCGGTTACCGCGCTCGCCCTGGGCGAGCTGGTGCTCGTTAACGCACACTTGCTCGTCAACAACGGATCGTCTACATGGGAGGGTGCAGGTAATACGAGCATGAACAACGCCACGGCGACACCACCGTTATTGCCGGTGCCCGGCACCGGCTCGCTCGTCCTCGTCACCGTCATTGGCGTTCTCTCGGCTATCGCCGCGGTGATGCTCATACACCTCTGCTTCTTTCACGGCTATATCGCCTGTCTCGGTCTCACCACGTACGAATACGTACGCAACAAACGAGAGAGAGGCATCGCCTCAGGTACCGCTGCCGACTCTAGAACGACGTCTACCTCTGGCCTGTGCGGCATACCTTATTGTACCGCTACCGATAGGGAGGATCACATCGATCGGATGGTACCTGGCGCGCGAGGTCTCTATTCTCGATTCTGCGAGAATGGTCCTTTACTCAAAACTAATACGAACACAACGAGAATGACGATGGCGACAACGGACGTGTACGTTTGCTCGACGCACGAGGAAACCCGGAGCGATGATGCAACGACGAACGTTAAAGATGTCTCCTCCAAGACGTTGCCTTCGATGAAAGGTGGCCGAAATTTTCGTCTTTGTTTCTCGTACGATTCGCGCACCACCGAGACCTCCATTCAGGTCTCTTCCTCGCAGACAACGGACGCGATGGAGTTGAGAAACCACGGTGACTCGCCGGATACCAAGTCGTCCTCCACACCTTCGCCGGTGTCTTGTTGCTTCTCCATCATGAACCATCCCGATGGCAGCAGGCACGATGGAAACGGACGAAAGCGTCGCACCGGAGAACATAGAATCGAGCCGACAAAACGCTCCTGCGGAACAATGAGAAGAATACAGACTTTTCTGCAGGCTCGTCTGAGGAAAGGTTCGAGACAACGGTTAACGACCTCGTCATCGGCGATCGCTCGTCATTGCGGCAACAAGATCATTCCACAGGCAGGCAGTCCTCCGGACATCGCACTTGCCTTAACCGAACATCAGGATCGGAATGTCGAAGCAGTGACGACGGAGCTGACAACATCACCGGATTACTCACGTCCACCGGCGAGGCTACCCGCCCTAGATTTTTCGCGCACCGTTCGCAAAATTAGAAAAGTACCTTCGAATACCACTGATATTTCCGTCCTGGGACAGATGCCGCCTTCCACGATATCTAAACGAAATCAAACTCACCTTCGCACACGGCGGAGCGGGAGTTTTTCCAAGAAGAGACCGCACTTCAAGATCGGCTCGCATGTCGTAACGCAGACCGCTCAACTGTCACCCATACCGGAGTCGGAGCTTTCGAAACCGGCTACGCCGAGATCGCCGTCGCGATCGAATTCTATATTCGCCTTCCCACCATTACACGAGTAACGTTGTCGGCACCGAGGTGTTACTTTTTAGGAATATAAAGCCCAAAATCGATTCGGCGAGAGTCCTCTCACGATCAAATACACTCGCTATATGAGTCTGCCTTTTTTAAAAAATAACATTTAATATTATTACTATTATTAATCATACTTGTAATATGTATATATATAGATATATATATATATATATACACGTAAACTTAAGTGTTTTAATAATATATAAAATTATACATTTTAATATGGTGCAAACTGTCAGACACAACACAATGTCTTCAAAATAAAATTCGATTTCTTCTTGTGGACAGACTCATATATACGATCTGTTATCGCTTAAGTAAAGCAAACAAAGTAAATGATTAAATTTTCATTTGATATCGATCCAAAGTTTGTCTAAGCTTTTTATAATTTTACATGATGAAAATATTCGAGAGTATCCTGTATAATTGACAATGTGTATCCAACCAATTATATTAATACAAATGCTTTGTCTCGTAAGAAAGAAACGGATTACTTGCAAGAAATATCAGTTGTGATCAAGTACGGTTAGCGTAAAGATAAAAAGTTCAATTTTATAGAAATTGACCATTTTAACAATCGGCCAATTAAGCGTAATACCAAGTAGTACGACGCGATTATAGTAGTAGTTCCAAATCGTACTGACGTCAATTTGCACCGATATGGCGCAATCGATGTCACTTTATTGAATTTATAATGCCTGCAAGTGACATTATTGCATCGTGACATAGAACAAGTTTCTTCTCAGATTTCCTTACACCCTCTGGGGGAAAAAAAGCTAAATGTATAACTTAGCTCCGAGCCTTGCGTAGTCGCAAATAATAGCATCGCTCATGCGACCTTCATACGCACAGATAATGTCCGAGACTACGGAGTTACCTGACAAAGAGGACGCTGTTTCGAAGAAGAGGACTAACATTTGGGAAGATTTGGGTTCACCGCGTTACATAGTCGCTCCAATGGTGGATGCGAGCGAATTGGCATGGAGATTACTCAGCAGGCGACACGGTGCTCAGCTCTGTTACACGCCAATGTTGCACTCCTCCGTGTTCTGTCGGGATCCCAAATATAGGCGAGAAGCTCTCGCTAGTACTAGCGAAGATCGTCCACTGATTGTACAGGTCTGCTTGACACTATAGGACTGCGATTTTATAGACTATAAGATTAGTCCTCGACTAGTTACATGAGGTTTTTCGGGATTATATACAAAGGAACATTTAACAAAAGAACAAAATTTAAAAGTGTAAAGGATATAACGTTAGAATTCCTCAAAATCTCAAGTATGTGACTAAACAACCGTGTGACTGAAATAATGCGCTCAATCCAAGATTCAATAAATGTTTTAAATAATCTTTCACGAACATTTTCGTACAAGTAAATATTTTAAATGCGTAACAGAACGAAAGAGAAAAGAACATTTGACATTAAATTTTGTGCAATAGTAATTCGTTTTCCAGTTTTGTGGCAGTGATCCGAATATATTATTGGAAGCTGCACGCTGGGCTGAACCATATTGTGATGCAATTGACATCAATATCGGTTGTCCTCAAGCAATTGCAAAGCGAGGACATTACGGAGCTTTCTTACAAGATGATTGGGATTTGTTAAAGAAAATCGGTATGCATGCATTTTACTTATACATTTGAACAGATTTTAGACTCTTTAATAATGTTATAATATAATAAATCTCTTATGTATATGTACAGTGTCGACATTAAAGAATGGATTATGCATACCTGTCACTTGTAAATTACGGGTGTTCTTAGAAATCAGTCGTACTGTACAATATGCTTGTATGCTAGAGGATGCAGGTGCTAGCTTACTCACTGTCCATGGACGTACAAGAGAACAAAAGGGTCCATTAACTGGATTAGCATCTTGGAAACACATTAAAGCAGTAAGGTAACTCATGTTTTCCATCTCACTTGAAGCATTCAAGTTGTATAATCGATGATTACAGTCAAATCTCTGTATTTTGTGCTTCTCGTTTTTAATAATTGATATATTTTATCAGGGATGCCGTGAAAATTCCTGTGATCGCCAATGGCAACATACAATGTATGCAAGATGTACAGCGGTGCATTGAGGAAATTCAAGTGCAAGGTGTGATGTCAGCAGAAGGGAATCTTTATAATCCATACATATTTGAGTCTCGTTATCCCGCCTGTTGGGAACCTGCTCTGGAATATCTGGAACTTGTAGAGCAATATCCGGTACCAGCATCGTACATCCGTGGTCATTTATTTAAACTCTTCCATCATGTGTATGTATTGATTTTTCGATCATGTCGACTTATAAATAGCAAAACATAATTCCCAAACGTACGCTCATCGTACAGCATGCTTTTAACTAGAGAGTAGACTTTGTTTAGCAGAAAATCAAGAAGAAAGAGAAAACTTGGCTACCAACTCCACTTTGGAAGCTTTTAAAAGTGTCGCGTATGCCTTGAGGGATCGTTATCTACCGTATCATGAAGGACATTTGATATGGCAGATGGGAAAGACAGGTAATAACTTGACGTCTATAGAATATTATTTGCATTTGTTACATGTCCATATTAAATCTTTTGTATCTTTTGATATTCTTAGATTACAATTTAGAGTTACCACCGTGGTTGTGTCAACCTTATGTACGAGAGCCACCACAAGAGTATACACAAAAAATACAGGTAGATGAGTCAAGTATGATTAATTGCGTTTACTGTTAATCTTTTTATTAATTATGATTGAAGAAATGTCCTTTCAAAATAATGATAATTTTCAGGAAGGCGCACTTCGGAAACGCGAATATAGAGATGAGGAAGGAAATGAAATATCACGAAAACGGTCAAAAAAGCTTAAGAGGATAGCACGTAGACCGAATAGAGCAACTTCGATTCCTAAAAGAAGTTCAGATCGGTGTCATGCCTGTCCAAATCCTCTGGTTAGTTGGAATATTTTCAAAATATGAATTTTTCTTATTTTATTCTTTAAAAAAATTTTAAAAAAGAAAAATAAAAAATAGAAATATTTTGGAGAAAAAGTTCTAAATTAGCGTTATTTTAAATTGTAGGGTTTTAAATGTGAATATAAATTGTGTCGTCAATGCTGCAGGAACAAATGTTATATAGAAAATTTAGACTGTGCTGGTCACAGAAATCTAACTAAAACTAGAAGACAGATGGCGAAAGAATTCGAGGCAAAGCGTAAGGAAGTTGAAAATATGACATGACACTATGTATTAAAATATTTTAAATAAAATTAGATGTATAAATGTATATAACATTTTAACTGTTTGTTTCTGATGAATTTTATTACCATCTTCTGTGAGAATACCTGATATATATTATCTTCGTTTATTTTTTAAATTAATACCAGACTACAAATTCAATTGAATATATCTACAGTCTATTTTACACAATATCGTATTTTGAAAAGTTAATGAGGTAATGTAAGTCTTCTATCTGAAATTTATGACGATATTGTAATAATTTGTACTATTACTGTAACATGTCCAACGGAATAAAACTATACAGAAGAAGTAACAATAGGTGCAGTGAAAATGGTCAATAAATCATTCTTCTTTGCTGATTCGTTATGAGAAGATTCGACTTTATCTTCCTGTTTGTCTGTGTTTGCCCAATACTTTTTACTTGACAATATCAGCATCATCAACAGAGGTAGATGAAGTAACGAAAATCGAAATAATCTTCTAGAATTTGCACTATCTGAATGCTTATTAAATGTCCAAGCTAAAATTATGGAAATATCACATACAGAAAAAAATTTGAAGTGTGCATACATATACAAAATATCTAAAAAGATCGAGATCAAGTTTATACAGCATATTAAAATGTGTAAATAGTCAAATCATGTTTTAAGCAATAATTCATCCAAACAGCTATAAAGCCATATAAGAATAACATTAATCAAATATTAATTTCTTTATTACTTTAAAAAACATCTTTGAATATAAATTAATTAGATAAACTATTGTCTCTTTCTTCTTTTCTTTTAATACACTGTAAAAATTGGACTCTAATTTTTAAATATATTGTATATGTAATTTACATTTTATGTAAATTTTATATAATTAAAATATATATATATATATAAATAGTAAGAGTGTATTTTACCTAGATATAGAAAATATGCATTGAGTGGCGTCGAAGCCAATGCAAACCACCAATAGGTTACATCCAATGCAGGAGCTAAATAACACAAAGCCATTAAAATTACTGTATATCTTACAGTTGTTTTACGACATAAATCTGGATTTATAACAGCCATCATTCGATAGCCAGCTCGTGAATAATCTGGTCTTAAGTTCCATGAAAGAGCATTAAAGTGTGGAAATTGCCACGCATATAAAATAGCAGGCAATATCCAAGCACCTGGTGTCAATATATTGCCACAACAACTTGCCCATCCCATAAGAGGAGGAATAGCTCCTACTGCAACGAAAATTATAATGCAAGTTATAATATTACGATACACGTGACAATATATACTCACCAACAGAGCCAATCCATGTGTTGGCAATACTAACACGTTTCATGGGAGTATATATAAGCGTATATAAAATAAGATTGCTAGCACCTAGCATTGCCGTAATACCATTTACTTCATGGTAAAGTATGGACAATCCAATGATACCAGATACTGCTGCAAATGCTATTGCATGAACAGGCCTGATGATGTATATGTATATATACACTTGTCATTATACTTAGTATCAAGTTACATAAATCTAATTATGTCAAAATAAAAAAAGTTTAAAAAAACTCACGTTAAATGACCACGTACTAATACCCGATTTTTTGTTCGTGACATCTGTGCATCAAAAGGAACTTCAAAAAACTGATTAATTGTATTTGCAGTGGCAGAGACTAAGCCTGTGCCTAAAGAACACATTGCAAATGTATAAGGATCAAATGGTGCAGGAGCCAGCGCATATCCAGCCATAGTTGTTGCTACAACAAGAGCTATATTGAAAGAGAATTTCAATTTGGTTAGTAAATTATATATATATTAAAGTACTTATGGGTCAGTTTGCAATGTATCAAATGTTTTAATTAAGAAATTTATTTTTATAATTAACTATATTTTAAATTAGTAGTCTAATGTGTATATATATGTACAGGGTGTCCAAAAAGAAGGGAAAAAAGCTATATAAACATAGGTTCGGAAATAAGTTTTTCCGAGTTATAATTTTTATATTAAAAAAAATTGTAATTTATTTGTCATAATCACAATCGTAATTTATTTCATAGTGTTTTAACATAGATAACTACATTTTGGACTATTTTGGCGTTAACTAGGATGCACCACGTGGAGCTATAGTTCACTTGGCATCCCTCTAGTAAAGCAAGAAAAATTTTTAAATAAAGAGATAAAAAGAAGAAGGATGCCAAGCAGACTATGCTTCCACGTCATGCATCCTGGTTAACGTTAAAATAGTCCAAAATGTAGTTATTTATGTTAAAACACTATGAAATAAATTACGATTGTAATTATGAAAAATAAATAACAATTTTTTTTAACATAAAAGTGATTATAACTCGGAAATGACTTATTTCCTGACCTATGTTTATATAGCTTTTTGGATCCCGAATTACTTCCCGAAGTATTGACCTCGATTTTTCAGATGTATATATATGTATAAAAGATTGTTATACATACATGTCAATTTAATCTTTGATAATTTGAGATAATGCTTGTGAAGTTTTGTATAATCAGTTATTAAAGGTGTCCATTCTGACTTTTCTATTTTACATGGATCTTTTTCAATTTTACATGGAACATTTTTCTCAGGAAAAGGAACTAGAGTAGTAAGACCAACTCGTTTGTGACCACCTTTCATAGTTTGTGTTAATTCTTCCATGCTTCCAGTCTTTGTTGATTTTTGTCTTGGAAAGCCAGAACACTAGAATTAAAGTTTTATTTCTTTTTCTCATAAAAATATAGAGCAGTACGTAAGCAAATTTTATCGATGATACGAACCATGACGACAGAAAATTTTGGCACAAAATTGCATGATATGTGCCGACAGTTTCTTAACTGACGAATAATAAATAACATCATTAACTTTAATTTTAATTAATTGCTTATTTCCATCGATCTAAATGTAAAATAAAGTCTATAAGTGCAGGAAAATAACCTAACCTAGTCATAACTAGTTATGAGCAGGAAAATATTCGTTTCCGCAAATTTTCAGATAATATAATTTCGTACTCACAGACATTTTCATGCGCTAACATGATTCTTATCATTAGCACATGTTTATTATTATATAATCGTATAATAAGAACTTTCAATATTTAATATTACTGAAGAGACGAACTATGTAATGTTAAGCTGACTTCACGCGCAACACACTGCATGCGCTGCAACAGCAAAATGTCATATGATTTAAATTTTCGAGAACTGAGCTGCGTTCAGAAATATCACCCGAGTGCTCCGCGTATCGTTTTATCTGTTAAACAAGGATAAGATGATACACGTGGGCACTCAGATGATGTTTTCGAACGCAGCTCAGTTCTCGAAAATTTGAATCACATCTTCAGCAAAAACATTTTATTTTGCAATTGTTGCAAGTTTTCTTCACGCTAGTTGAATTATACACTGCTCAACAAAATTATGGCATAGAAAAATTATGGGCAAAAATTGGCCAACTTTGATTAACGATAACTTTGCGAAAAATTACCGTAGGATAACGATTTTTTTTTTAATTAAAGCTTGAAATCTCTAGACTTTAAGACGCTCTGCGTCTAGATTTTAAGTTTGATGCACCTCTGCCATTGTAACTCTAAAAAATGAGGGTGTTTGTCATATTGAAAATTACAAAGTTTGACGGAATGCACGGACTTTGTAAAATTTTTTTGGGGAATGCCGTTTGCAGCGGCATTTGAACCTTCCCCTTTAATTAAACAAAAAAAAACGAGTCGCTGCAATTTTTTTTCACAAAGTTACAACACTTTAAAGTTACCCTTGCATTTTTGACATATATTACCGACATTACCTGCATTGACCTGCGGATATCTTAGAGCTGGGATTTAGTTGCACATTTCAGCTGATTTTTCAGCTTGGTTCCTGCCTCTTACCTCACCAACCTGCGTGCAGCCTAAATGTCTATTCTTTGAATTTTTGTTTTTGAAACAGTACTTTTGTGTTTTTGAAGCACTGATTTTTTGTGTTTTTGAAACAGTACTTTTGTATTCTTGAAGCACTGATCTTTTGTGTTTTTGAAACAGTACTTTTGTGTTTTTAAAGCACCGATCTTTTGTGTTTTTGAAGGACGTGACCATAGAGCATGAAAATGTGACCGCAGCGCATGCTCTCGCAGCGCAGTATTTCGCGACATGTTTCCTAACTTGAATAGTCATCAATTTTAACGCTTGCCCTTTTATTATATAAAGGTTTGGTTCGTTCGGTTATAGATTATGGTATCTATATATATTACCTTAGGGAACGAGGGTTGCAATTAAAATTAGAGAGAACACAATTTAAAGGAATTAGAACTGCCCTTGGATATAGAAACAGTACTTCTAATCAGTATTGTTAAGCGTGCCGCCTTTTTAGCGCATGCGCGTTCGAGATTAGCTCACTGCACTGTTAGATTCGGATTTTTACAGATCCTATTTGTGCTCAATTCTGGCATTTTTATGAAGT